AGGGCAAAGCTAGTCCTATGATAAAAAACAAAAGCGGAATCCCTATAAAACCGTGTAGCAATCGACAGCGGAGATTTGCGTATCACGTATGCAATTTATTTAATTGCGTCTCCTCTTGAAATTAGTTTAAACAGTTTGTCATTATTATCAGAAGTACAATAAATAGACCTAAAATAAATCATGACGCACAACTCTTACACACACTTGACTCAATGCCAGAGATAAACAAAACAACGTGGTGATAAACAAACGATATCGGAGTGGGTCCCTTCAAAACAAGATAGCGAAAATAAACTGCGTCTTATGACCATATTCTGTCCTTCTGTTCTGCAATTTAATGCAGTTATAGTAAATAAGTTACGTACTATTTTACTAAGTAAGCATTGTTAAGAAAAAAGTCCGATACTTTGCCGGTGTACTAGCGCTACACTAGCCTTACTAAAATGTCGACGTTTATGTCCCCTCACTAATCACTTTGACATTTGACTTTGTAATGAAAGCGCGCCATTCGTTGCAAAAAATTAATAATGTTTAAAAGTACTAGCGAATGTTTACATTTATATAACATAGTATGGGGAACGCAATCACCTCATTTACTATTAATAAAGCTATAGTCTGGGCGTTAATTAAAAAAAATGCATTTCAGATTGTATGTGTTATTCCCGTGGCTAAACTAATTTATATTTTTAATAACATACTAATTTTAAATTTACGTTTAATTAGCCCCTTTGTACACAAGGCAATGTGAATCTACGAAACTAATATGTATCCATATATTATAATAAAATAGGAATGTCTGTATGTAATATCGAAGAAAATGATATTTCGTGAACATAAGGTATTTGCGTGGCTTATACGTCTGTCCGCGTTTGTTCCGGTTAATCTCCGAAACGGATGGCTCAATTTTGACGGGACTTTGACGGTTAGGGACCTGATACTTGCATATTATAGGCTATTTTATTTTCTGCGCCGACGATTCGAAGGTTAGTATAAAAATATGATTCATCGGAACAGGAAAATACTGACACTCAATTTCATTATCAAAAATTCAGACAGACTTCGTATAGTATTAAATTAATTAAAACAATCCAGTATTAAACCAGATATGTCCGAAAAGCTAATGTTTCAATCAGGCCGTGTCGGACTATGTGTCCGACAAACCATACTTCCATTCAACACCTCGTTGTGGCTTGTCGGACGCTTTTTAATCGAATTGTTGTATACAGCGTGATCCGCAAGGCCCCATAAAGGTTATAAACAGTAATTTTTTTTCGATTTTCGAAAAATCATACTAGATTTAAGTTCAAGTCAACAATTTTAAATCAACACAGAGTAAAACAATGAGAATATCATTATATTTAACTACGATACAGTAACAATAATTTAGTAGCCAACACGTTAGAACATTTTACAGTTCAATTCCAACGCAATTAATACATATATTTGACACCAATTGAATCTGTATTCGAAATCAGATATTGAAAATTTAATGAATTCCTCTCTCGAATGAAATGGAAATCGCCCAATGAATGGAATGAACTGAAATAGTGCGGACTCTACATTCTATGAATATCTATTGCAGCTCAATAAATTCTCAGTATCAATAACGTTGGTGATGGAAATGAATAATTTCTATATATTTGTATCTTTATTATGAATATTTGTGTCAAGCAAATCAAGATGTTTCTAGATGAAAAAAATGCTTCATATTTCGATTGATTACATTTCAATTAAAGATTTATTAACATACAGAAAATTTATGTGGATTTTATTTTAGACTAGCTGTGCCCGCGACTTCGTCCGCGTGAAATACTGTCTTGGAGCTGCCCGCGGTACTGGACAGTACTTAGACATTGCAACATTACTTTATTTTTCTAAAATAAAAGTCAAGCCATTTTAGAGATTATTCGGAATAAAACAGATGCACAGACAAAAATTGTAAAAAATGTTATTTTAGTATATATATCAAATATTCATATACATGTAGTAAAAAGCAGTTATTTCAATATTACAAACAGACCCTCCAATTTTATTTAAATGTATAAATTGCTTTTCTTCATCAGACATTTTTAAACTAATTGTTTACCTTTGTTGTTATTTAAACTACGTTAAATGTTGTATAATTTTAGTAAACTTATATAAAATCTACCGTGAAAAGGGTTAACCCCGATGGTCTATACATTAATAATTCAAGTAAACTTAGCCAGCTATAATGGTAGAGTCTGTCAAACTACGTTAAAGTCAAAAGCCTTGTAGTGTCTTGTCATGTCTTACCTTGTGTCATTTATCATTAGGTTTTACGTATTTTCTGACAGAGGTAACCCCAAGGGTAACCGGGCTAGTTAATTTTATCGAACTATACATATTGTATCTGTGTATACATCTTATTGTATTGCAGATGTCCAAGCGAGAATATAGAGTCTCCGCATTGCGCATTTTCGTCCGCCGCATTTGCAACTAACTTGATGCAAATAATAACCTATTCAACGATAAAGTACACCATTTATCGTTTGCAAAACAAACCTAGATAACTATAGATCTTATTTCAAATATACAGAGTGTTTAAGATTATCAAAAGGATATCACCATTCGGACACCTCTACAAAAATTAATTATTTTTGTTTTCAAAGAGAATAAGAAGGATAATCATAAATGAGAGAATAGGAGTCCCGTAGTGACTGTGAGTTAGGTGAAAAGCCAGGCTATTTGACTACAATTTTAATAACAACGCCCTATTTATAATTATATTGTCACCGTCGACAACGTCTACCCGGATTTAAAAAAAAAAACTTATTTAGTAGCTTATGTGTTCCTCCAGACTGTTCTCCATATATGCCAAATACCAGAAAGATCCATACAGCCGTTCTGGAGATACCTTCTATCAAAGATCTATCTATCCATCCATCCAAACATTCGCATCTATAATATTAGCAAGATTCAGTATTCAGTGGCGCCGTCAACCAGATATCTGTGCAACTTATAAACCAAAATGCCATCTATTATGATTTTATAGAACTAACCGATAAATACCCACTTATGTCGTATCGTATCAATAATTGAGATAAAAACCGCAGGAACAACTTACAGATGGAGTTGGACGCGAACATACATCGTGATACGAAAACATTTTTCTTCAACTTTGAATCTTTGATCGGTGACGAAAAGTTGTGCCATTATTCTATCCGGAATCGCCAGGTTGACAAAATTAATCAAATAAACATCCTTTGTACTTGTGTAACATTTTTTTTTATTTTCTTTTAATTACAAAAATCATTGTACCGAACTACGGTAGACAAATTTACCCATTTTAATCATTAAGAATATGCAAATATTCCTTCAAAATATTTTAACAGATCATAACGTGTTTTCAAAAAACGCAGTGAATACACGAAAAACAAATTAACTTTATAAATTAACTCGAAATGAAACCAATTTATTCGATCCAATACAAAATAATGAAGTTACATCATAAAAATTGCCGCAGAATCTGTAACTCAATTAATGCCAATTTATTTAAAATGCGAGGTAAACTTTATTAAAATAATAGTTAAATGTTAAAATGGTTTTCTTCGTCAAAATTGAGATATTCCGTAAAGAAATAAAGCGACATCTATTAGCGACATGTGGTATCTACATTGTCGTTAATTATACTGTGGGAGTTTAAATAATTGGCGATAAAATTTTGAGTATAACAAAACTGATGACCGGAATTACATTTTCTTAAAATATTTAGACAAAGTAGTATCAATTGAAACTAAATTAACTCCTTAATATGTATATTTTAAACAATTTTGATTACATGGTGCATATGATGTCAAATGACTACAGATTCGTGAAGATTTGCAGACGTTCAGTCGTTTCGTTGAGTTCTGCGTAACGATGTCTCAAGCTATAACTTAGTGGAAGCTCAATATCTTTCCAGAAAACATTACCTTACTAAAATAGAAACACAAGAAAAGATGTAAATGCAGAAAACATGATGTTTGAACTCGGGCACCTACTTACTTGTAATATAAAGACAGCAGTAGCTGTGAAAGAAATGTGTGTTGAAAACTTTGCAAATTTAAATGGTGCTACACGAGTACACATTCGCGTGAATATGTTTATTAAGAAATCATACCGTTTTCAGACTTTTGTTTCAGAGTCGCGGAAGGTGAAAAAGAAATAGAAAGTTGAAAATAGCACCCTTTATAGTAAATGAATGTTTTCCAAAGTAAAAGATTTGTAAGCGTAAAAGATGACTTTTACACATCTTGGAATTTTGACTTTTAAGAGATAGGACTAAGCGCTTTTATTCTTCTCTGTCAAATAAAAACAAGCAATAAGCTCTGGACTTGCTTGCGTGTATGCTCGTTTTGTGTGTAAGTTTTTGAGTCGGTATACTTTCACAAAGACAGTTCATTTTTACCATGACTTACACATGTGTGATTTTTAACCTTATCCCATCCCCCGCGAACAGTGGCATAATTTATTTAAAACAACTTAGGTAGTTTGTCTAGTCCGTTTCTCTTTAGTCAGAGATGGTTAATTATCAAATAGGCAATTTGCGACGTACTTGTTAGTGATGTCAAAAACATCTGCAATTAGTTTTTTAAATAACAAAAATACATGCAAACACTTTCTAAATGAACACACACAATGATGATCTTTCTAACGTGACACGAAGACGTATGACGAGATATTTCCAACAAAGTTTATTTTTACTATGAAACTACTGTATTAAGATAAAAAGCGGGAATTTATTTATCAGTTTTCTCCAAATATAAATCGGTCACGAAACATATTACAGTCTTACAACTTTCATAACCCTTTTCATATGTTTTCAGTCGATCAAAATAACGGTGAAATCGCTCGAGCTCGTTTCGCTGGCTTAAAATATAACCTAAATGCAATCAACGGCAAAATAATAAGAACAGGTTATTTCTTTTGAACTTAAAATAAGGAAAGGAAATGAAGCTGAGAAAAAAAATCCGGTTATGGTTTATAATAATGTGACCTACCTACCTGTGCTCTTGGTTAAGATGGCCGCCTCATCCCGCGTGTACATCTCCATTGCGCAGGCTGCGGACACATACGACAAAGCCGTTCAAATTATTTATTATTTTTCATACACAAACCCAAAATAATTTTATATAACTCAAAAGCAGTGACAAAAATAATCGCAACATTTTCTTTTATAAAAAAATTTTGATTCTTTAAAGCTGAAATATTTCTTTGTAGGTTATAAATTTCTGTTTCCCATTTTTTAAATCCAATTTCATATAAATACATATTATAATTAACAAGTGAAAACCGTGAATTATTAAATTTCATTTTCGCATATCGCAAAAGCAAAGAGCATCGCATCAGTATACATAGCAATACAATAATAATAATAACATAAAAAAATAATTTATAAAAAAAAATTGTAGTAAAAAGTTTGAGATTTACCTGTATGAAAATTATATTTGTTCTTTTCTATTTTCTCTTCATTTTAAGACGACACGTAACTGCCAATAATCATACCTGTAACAAGGAAAAATATGTTCTTTGATCGAATTTTACGTCATAAACAAGCAACATTATAAACGCGCGCAGCTAATGCTCAGCAAAACAATAACGCTACGTCACAAATAATATCACAAAAAATTAAAAAAGTTCGCAGTTAGCAATCGCATTTCATATTGCACACATTTATTGCACACATATATGTGCAATTAAATATTATAAAAGACTTACCTAAATCAGTGCTGCGTAGCTTTGCTCAATCGATAGGCCGTTGGGTTAATACCTGTTAATAAAAAAAAAAGAAAATTTATTATCAAGTTTTACTGTTACTAATATTAGAAATAAATATACGTCATATAAATCATTGCGTTAAAATCTATTTTAGTACCTTGTTCTTTAATTATCGTTGTCTATTGTTATAATTACTTTGACGAGGAAAAAACCCTGAATTACTACTAATTAGTTTAACTATATGTTGGCATTCTGATGTATTTGTGTATAGACGATTGATTAACGCAATAATTAAAGTTATATTAGTAGGAAAACCTTAAAAAATTTAGACCACGTTATTCACTGATTAAACTTTCCATTACTAAAATTAAAATACCAATAAAAATCATACTACGCCTGCTATCATAAATTCTCATACTGTCAAAACTTAAATCGAATATTTTAAAAATATACAGTTAAATTCAGGAAATTTTTACAAACTCTAAATAAAAATCACTCCAGCTTAAAATCAAATGACGTAAAAATTACGAACACCCACTCGAATTGACGTCAAGCTTTGCTGATACAAACGGTAGCGCTCCGATATCATCCATTATCTCTTTCAAACTTATAACATTGACATTATTTGTGTACGAAATATAAAATAGAATCAAGTTACCGTACGACATGCCTTTTTATCGTAATTTGCTGAATGAATACAAATAAATCAATGACCTCAAAATCCTCAAGTATAATTTATAATCTAGTTAAAACTCTCTAGTAAACTATGTATTATTATATTATTAATGTAATTAAAAATAAATCTAAATAATAGACCAAAGTACAAGTGAAAAATAAATCCAGGTCGTTACAATTACGTTGATTATTTAACATTATCGCACACAAGTTATGAAAAACTTCCCCATTTTTAGAAATCGATTGAATAGCGCATGCGTAGTTCGCAATTGGCCCGTTCGATGCTACCGTTAGCTTAACTTTATCCCCTCAATTTGATAACTTAAATGAATTTAGACCTACTTCCCTATGTGCGAGAAAAAAAACAATTTTATGAGTTATGGTCCCTTATTGCTTTTGCCTTTGGCAATTTGCCTCCGTTCGGCATCGTTACAATGTTTCGACTGGGGGTTCGAAAACAAAAAGTTTCGTTGCTTAACACCATTAACGCTTGCCCTTCGGACCTTCGTTATGAAAATAAACAAAGCTATTGATATCCTACCTAATTTAGAAGCCTCTGGTAATGAATATGATACGACAGAGTGTAGATACTTTTACATCTGCCATTTTTGACGCACATTAACGTTCGCATTGGATTTCAAAATAATATCTCGTGAAACTCTGGCTACTTTATTAATTAATATATAACTTGAACAAACCTAACATGACGACTTTGTTATAGGATTTTAAAATTATTAAAATTAGTGAACTGGAACGAAGCAATTAAAATAAAATCATTCATATTATGACAGTCAGCTGAGTCTTTACGCATATTTTTATTCGCGCTACAGCACCACAATTCATCGATGCCTCCCTGACCTCGGATAAAGCTAACGGCCCGGTGCATTCGCCGTACCGAGTTCAACGGCACACGTTTTTTCGCAAACTTTTACAACCGACACCGTCATTCAAGCCGCGTTTGCTCCGAGTTCATAATGCACCGGATTAAGAGGGGTACGACGCGTGGCTTGCCTCAATAGATGGCGCTATTGTGCGCACGCCAGCCACTTTTTTCTTTTGCTTTGTTGTGGTTGCTTGGCTTTTGAATACTTTGGATTTATCAATTTTGCTTCTGCATAATGCGTGATAAAAACATTACTTAATTTCTTTAAGGTCTAATATGCGAAATGTAATTGTTTATGTAAATAATCTAGAGATTTAAATAGGGGAATGTAAATTCTTTAAATAGAAATTTAATTTAAATTCAAATGCCAAAATGTAAGCTGATATTTATAGCAAACATCAAAGTCTTTTTGTTAATTAATTCAAAGAAATTTATTTACAAAATGAGCAAGTCAAAACAAATCTTTGATTACTGTCCTAATTAAGGGGTATCCTTCATTATCACCGTTGCTATCGTGTCATGCTATAATTAACGGACTGTCGGAATTTAATTAGAGTAAACAGATCCCGCTCATGGTTTCAAAAAACAAAAATGAGAAATGGAAAACAAAGAATACTATAATAATTAAATTTATATTTATAGAACTATTTGATTGATTAAATCACTAATAGATTTGTGTCCAAGTTTACAAGATTTTAATCTAAATTTCGAATTTAGGAAATTGCAACAAGCAAATGATATAAGCAAAAGCAATTGCGTCGTAGTCAATATATTTCTGCGAAATGAAGTAACAGTAATAAGGAGATGTTGCTTTATGAAGCGGCCGTTTTGAAACTCATCTGCGTTCATTTCCGCTGCAGATAGCAAGGTTGAAATGACGGCAATGCAACGTTTAGCTACATCTACACAGATAGATCAATCGGCATTCGTAAGTATTAGCGGGAAATAATCATGAAACACGAGGAAATCGTACAGGAATAGTACATTTACAATATTTTGTTACAGATAAAAGCGTCGGTGGCTCGGGGTGTTAAGCACTTGACTCTGCAGGTCCTGGGTTCGAATCCTGCCATGTACCAATATGTTTTTGGATTTACGTATATATTATAGGACGTTCTTACGGTGAAGGAAAACATCGTGCAACCTGAACTTATAAGAAGAGATTCAAAGATATGTGTGAAGTTAGCCAACCCCCACTGGTCCTAGGGTGGTTAAAATAAAGAAGTAATTGCTTGTTTCAGAGTCCTCGAACAAAGACGCGTAACAATTAGAATTTGCGTTAACAAAATATAAGACATATTATCGACAGAGAATGGATAGAGCTATTAAACGAACAACAAAAATGCGTCACAAACGCGATAGTCGGCTAGTTTTACTCGAAGCGATAGCGATTAGCATTTTTTTTTCTTTCACGTCATCGCTTTATCTGAGTTGTTGTAGTTTGCGATAGAAACCAATGAAATGTCTGCCGGAACGTCGCCAGATTTCACAATATACGGGAACAACTGGCTACGTTATAATTATAGAGCTGAGCAATACAAAGAGGCAATTGACGACGATAATAACTAAATCACATCAATACAAAAAAAACTATATACTAGTTTTTCTTGCATGAAATCTAGACTAAGTATAATTAGTTAAAATATCAGGATGAACAGCATAGCTGCGTAGAAAAACGATAAAGGCTATCTTACTAATCTTACTTCTTACTAATATTTGGATGGATGGATGATTAGCAGGTATCTCCAGAACGGCTCCTTGTATCTAGCTGAAATTTTACACAGATGAAGAACATAGTCTGGAAGAAAACATAGGCTACTAATTGAGATTATATTTCATTCCGCTTGGTCGGACTCGCGAGCGACAGCTAGTTTCTTTAAATAAAATACAAGTTGTAGCGTCGACCAATTAATTTCTAAAATAAACTATCAAATATTTTTTCTCGTATTAATAGGTACTAATTGATAAAAATATAATCATTAGAAGCATTAGGTGAACGACCTCTTTATTGCGTTGCTAATTATATATGTGATAAAGAACCTTATCAGAACAAGATGTTAACGTATACATCATTGTAATAATAACTTGACTTTGGTATAGTTTGATTAAAATCTTGAAATATAGTAACGTCATTTAAACTAGTTAGTTTATTAAAATAACAAGCCCAACTAATTGTTATTGAGTGTACATAAGTACAGTATATATTTGAACATGAATAAATAACAATAATAAGTACATAGTCGCGAATTGCATTAGCTTTGTATCAATCTAGCGAAAACAAATATTTAATTTACACGTAATCAAGTAATACAAATATTATGCCCTTATTATGTTGATTTTGCGTATCTGGTTAACATTGACCTGTTTACAACATAGGTTATCGTTCATTGTTTCTTGCTGGTGATTATGTGCATACAAAACAAAGCAGTCTGTCCTTCGCAGTGACCCTTAGTTCACTACTGATATAAATGAAAACATGAAAACTATCCGAATGCAATTAAACTTGAAATTATAACAAGATAAGGCAATCGACATCATATTTGATAAGACAGTGTAAATACTATTACTATACAATTGTATTATTTATTTACGATTGCACTACGCACATGTTTTGCAAATGAGTAAACAATGTCTGGATAAATGTTACAATGTTTTTTTTTTGTTGCGTAAATTTTACACAACATTTAATAATAATACTTCTTTATTAATTGCCTTTTCAGATCGAAGATTTACAGTCAGTTTATAACAATACTATTTCGTTATAATTTAAATAATCTATATCTAGAATAATAAAAAAAAACTACCTTCAAAATTCTTACTTTATTATTCCGTTTGTATATTACAAATGAATTATAACTGTATGTAGTCTATTTCTGAATTCTAATCAGGACTAGACCTTTTATGCTTAAATTACGGGATACAATGTGTTGGGTCTTACCTGCTCACGGCAATAATGCAGTTTTTTCTTTGCATGCATTGCGCCGTTATCTTCCCATCGTTGATCTTTGCCGGCATTACTCATTACAATATCGGCCGCCATTACTGCGAACAATATTTCACATGTTTAATACAGATAAATAAAAACCACTTTGACTTTTATAGAAACATTAACAACCGCCCGCGACTCCGCGCGGTATTAAAATAAAATTAATTAGTAGTCTATGCGTTCTTCCAGGCTTTGTTCTACATTTATGCCAAATTTCATCGTGATCCCTGCTGCCGTTAGGGAGATACCATCTAATGAACATCCATCGATCCAAATATCCACATTTTATAACATTAGTGAGATAAAAGGATTCGAAAACCTATCTCCTTTATATTTATTATTAGTTTAGTTCTTATCGACTTGAGTCTTCTATTTCTTAAGTACATCAAAGGACTTCGTTCTTTCACAAACTTCTATCTTAAAGAAACTTGTGTCGTAGCGTAATAGCATAGCTCTTTTGAGCTAAATAACTTTGAGATTGAAAAGGAAGGAAACTGCGCAGACTTCGTCGTCGTAGTTTATAAGTAATAAAGTTTATATATTTGAACTCCTTATCTAAATGAAGTCGCGGTGTACGGCTAGTGTATGTGTGTTAACACATGGCGGTAGTTGCAACTCAACAATTTACGGAAGAACAAATTCGTAATAGAAATTTATTCAATATTAATTCTAGAAATCGGAGGCTTATTAATTTCTCTAATTATCTAGAAATGTAGACATTTATAAAACGTTTTTGGAAGTTTATTAGAAATGCAATGGGACGGCGTACCTGAACATGATAATTTTTTTCTATTTAAAATGCAAACTAGCGCAGACAATTCATATGAAAGGACGAAGGCAATATCTCTGCAGCGAGCATCTTGACTTTTTTCATTTCGTTTTAAAATCACAAAGGAATTTTTTTAGGAGTGCGAGCCAGAACGGTGACCGCGCGTCGGCCCGACACCCCGTAGCGACAAATTCATCGTATGTATTACGCAATTCTGAAATCACTTTTTGTGTCCGCCTCACTATGGTTGACTTTTGTAAAACAGAGATTTTCGACTACCTGCTCTTTTTTTCTGAGCCCACGGTTGCTCCGGCCCCACAGTCAGTATAAACCCCGGTGAAATGTTCCCTTTGATGCTCCCAAACCTTCCAATACATTCGACCCGAAAGCTGGCCGCATATTTAACGATGACTATCTTTTGACTACGTATAGAGAGGTTATGAATAAGGCATTAACTGTCAAGCGCATAAAATTGTAAAGGTAATGTAGGTGAACCGTTTTAAAATTCCATCGTATAATGTAAAAAGACGGAAGATTAATCTATGATGTGTAAAGAAATATATGATAACTAAGAGATGCAACAGGGAGGGTGTATTGTTAGCGTATGTACATATTGGACGGCGAGTTAGCGATGTTAATGGTGTTCGCGTGCGGCGTCGCTCTACTTGGTGTAACGGAACGTGGCGTAGCGCGCCGCAGCCGGTTTTTTGATACCTCACATCCGTACCATTAGCGCTGCATCTACGTGACAACTCGCACACAATCGACGCTTGCCAGTTTCCAATGTTACTAATCGTCAAGAAAAAAAAAACACCAATATCTCTAATCGCACCAATAATATCAGAGCAGAGAATATTTAGAATGGGAAGGGTCATCAAAACTGTCGACGTTCTTAAAGACATCAAATTAGGAGTTGGAATGAGCGTCGCGACAGCCGACTACGCTTTAAGAATTGTTAATTAAATTCATTAATATGATTCCAAGTCACGTAACACAGCTCTTGAAGTTCTCAGACGCTGGGCTTGGGGACCTTCGCTTATACATCCGTATAGCACACCGCTGAATGTCCGGTTAAAGACAATGACTCCGGCACCCTATCGACAATCATAAAGGTGTAGAATATGATTTACAAATCTCTCGACATATGCCGGTTCGTTAAGCGTGACCTTGCTGAAATGTCATAAAATGAAACCAACGCGCTTTTACTTTATACGTAATTGGACATCTGTTACGATTGTTGTAAAAATAATAGACGGTTTAATGCAAGCAGTTCCGAAAGTGAAAGTCCACCGTTATGCACATTATGAGATATCTTAACGGTATAAAAAAATGACGGCACACAATGATTCTTTCAAATAAATATCACTGACATTACCACAACTAATATAAAAATTTAAATCTGACATAGACCAACACTATAAATATTAGAAACGTGCTACGCCGCTACGAACTTATAGTTGAAATTAAGCATTCAACTTTTGCCAATCGAAAATCGTCAAAAAAGATTAGTTGGTTATCAAAACCACCACCGTACAGTGCAAGAGACTAAGGAAGAGTAATTAAAATCAAGCACAAAATTATATGCTTGATTTGAGTCTCTAATAAATGAAATTGCATTTTCTTTCTCGATTTATAAAAATGGCTCCTGAACTATAAAGACGCTCATAATAGCTCTGCAGATAACATTCCGGTCTTTGCAATACTTTGACTTTTATGTAACTGCAGGCATATCGATTTGTGCGATAAAGCTGGCCGTGTACAACGAACTAAAAAAATGTATGTTACTCCAGAAAGCTTGGCGGATGAATTTTCAAGTCGCAAATCTCGTATGAGCAATCGCAGTACCTCCGTAGTCGAGTAAGACAACAAATTACAAGTTGTATGTTCTTGTAGTAAAACGGTATCGGTAATGCGGGTTATTCCGCAGTTTTCACTTTAAAAGTGAATCTTTTATAATTATTATTTTCGACTATTTGAAATTTAATTAATTAAAAACGGTTCATTAATTAAATTGTGATATTTGAATTGTCTTGACTTTTTATTCAATAATTATTTATTCTAAAAAATCGAACAGTATTAATATGGCTTTTCTATTGGTGTTAGCTGGAGTCCGAAAGTTTTAAAAAAAACTTTTAAACTAAAAACGCAATCAAATACCTTCAAATAAAAAAAATCCAAATTAAATAAAAAATTACTAGTGATAAATCTCTTGCCGATAATTGAAATGTGCGGATTCATGCCTATATTGAACGCGTGGGTAGATTTTTTCCACACGCCCAAAGATATTTTGAAAATAATCTTAAAAATCTCAAAGGATAAAAAAGGAAAATTGATTGAATTGAAGAATTAAAATTGTCAAAGGTGGCAATAATTGATGATATTTCCAAGAAAATTGAGATTTCCAATAGTAAAATGCAAGAGAGATGAGCTTTCTTCACATACCGGAGATTGCGTGCGGCGGACAGCGCGGCCATCTGCTGTTTCGTCGCACTCCATTTCGCATCGTGTCTGCACCCGAGCAAGTCCAGGTACACATGCAGCAACCAGCAGCAAAAACTTGTCTAACATCTAAGACTTAATGTTAGCCAAAGATATTTTTTGTTTGAAAACAGCACGCAGTTTCGCACGTGCGTCCCACATGACTGCTCATGGAGCGATGATAAGTTGGGAGTGTCGACGAGAGTACGACTGTAGAGGCTTCGGTGGCCTAGCCATTTGTCGGTTGTATGAAAGAGATGGCTTGCGCAGGGCTACGGAGGATGCGCAAACTGTTTTCCCGGCCGCGCAACTTGTTGAAGCGATCGGCGCTGCCAATGAAATATGGAGGCGGGCTGAGGTATATCCGACATAAATGTCTAGACCAACCCCCTAAACTCTAAGCTCTGATAAGTGATAAGGACTCCTACTTTGCGATCACTTAGTATTTACACACAACCATTACTAAGATATTAACGACAATGTAAGGACTGTCGTTTTGACAATTTTGACAAAGATATAGATAGAAAACAATTTTTTTTAAATAGTTTTTACTATAAAAATATAATTTTTCTTATTTCAATGAAAAATCCTGTACGAATCGCGGTTAAATTTTAAAAATTCTTAATCTTATATTTTCATTCTCACGTGCAGGAATTCTACTTATAAGATCAATCATCTCCCACTTTACGTCAAAAATGTTAAGGTCTAATCAAAATTACATAAATGACACACCTATTAAGAGGGCGCCACAATCTACGTTGATATTGCAACATTATTGATCTACAGTCACACAAGGATATCTCAACCGCTGAGAGGCGCTGCTATCGCGATTAGTTCTGTCAAAATTTATATAAAACCTACTTAGACGGACAAACTGACATAAAAGAAAAAAAGGACATGACAGCTGCAGTGCAAAGACGATTTTTTGACATTTTTGACTGTTAGTTGTCATAATTTAGTTTGACTTATGCTCACCGGGTCAGATATATTGTCGGTGTCTCAGCCATTATTCTGTACATTTTATTTATGTACCTATACATTTTTCACGCTGTAAATATTTTACAGTATATTAAGTCATCAAATTATTACGAACTCAAAAATGACACTAATAATAAATAAAAATACTTTCACAACTCGACGACAATCAATTATATCAATACAATGGTAACGAATTATTATCTAATTAAATTTCTGTTGCCATTATGCAAGAAAATATACTTAGGTTTTTTTATTTTTCTGGTAATTCTATACGCTATACATAATGCGTTAATAACAGTTTTTTTTTAAAACAAGGACTGGAGCAACAATATTTATCTGAAGTATGAGTAGAATAGTTTGTGTAGTACGTTGTAACGATAGCGGTGCCTCTGAGAGGCTCAAAGAGGTATACTGGTCATTGGCACGGGCATTGTGAGGTCTTCGGCCCCAATAACTGACCTAGCACTATGCGCACCTTCACCGCGCGCCCGCGCCTGAGGGTTGTACCACCTGGCGTCTAAGCCGTATTTTCGTGGCTTTGCGGCCTCGCGGCCAGCTAACTGCGTCGGTTTATTTTAATAAAGCCCGCGCAGATGTCGTGAGCGCTGTCGTACTTTCACCACAACTTTACACCCTAGCACATTGTACGCAGGGTGCAGTTATGCATGCACGCCACTCCCAGGGCCGAGTTGTAAACAAACCGGGCGAGGGCAATGGCTGACGGCAGCCGGCCACTCCCCGCTCTCGATGCGCCCGCGCCGGCGACGCCATTCAACCGGGAAGTTCACGCTTTATTTTTAGCATTTCACGAAACGAGCATCAATACTACAATAATATGTTACGGAGTTTAGCAGGACCATGAACCGATGTTTCTCTATAATTTTGGAATGCACATTTTTAAATTTTGTTATTTTACTATTCTTGACAATACAATTTAAACGCTCAGCATATAATGGCGTCCTGGGACGGTTAAATTTCAAACTCGTCAGCATACTGCGTCTGTGCAATGCGCATGCGCACGGGAGGGCGTGCGCGGTGCACGCTCTGCCGTGCGCAAAGAGGCTTACGGTGTTATTTAACTGTTAAGGGTCTTAAATTTAATTTTATCACAACTACATATAACCATGAAACTCTTGGAGCGAGTTGGCATGTATATATGGGAGATAAGATAAGAGAATAGACAAAATGACGCATTAGATTGCAGAAAATAGAAGGACGGGAACAATACAGTAAAAAATGTTTTACTTTGCGTTTGTCTTGTTCTTACTGAGCAAACAATTAAAAAATTATTGTGCTCTGCCAAAAGTAAACATGCACCGCAATGCGGGCAGGAAATAAAACTGCGCGCCGACTATTTTTATAAGCGGTAGGTCGAAAACATAAGTTCAGCTTTTGTCGCATGTACAATGAGTATTGACGAAGGGTAGGGCCGTCGATACGAGGCCAGGTGCAAAAGCTGGGGTCAACAGCCGCGGTAGCGTGACAAGTAACTAATAAGCGACGTCCGCGTCAGATATATCGCGCGCTCGCGGCCCTTCGTCGGAGTCGTGCTCGTGCGTAACCATCGGCAATCGGCATTGACATTGGATATCGGAAGAGTGCTAGATCCGCAGTGGGGCCAAGATCGCGGTGCCACTTCCGAAGATTGTTGTCTTGGGCGACGTCGAAGGCGGCGGCACTCCGGCGCGAGTCAATGACCCGAAGGCGCGGAGGGCGCGGGAGGGTGCGCGCGCACGCAGCGGTGCCCCGCCTTTATTTATTACGATACGCGCGGCGCGGCGCGCTCGGCGCCGGCAGCGCGGCGGGGCGGAGGCCGCATTCCGGGCAACCGGCGCTTTACTCCACCACACTGCGGTCATGCTAAAATAACACGACCCATGTCTTTACTTGTACCGCCCCATGAAGATCTAAAATGCCACTTAAAAATAATCTATTCCTAAACTTACAGCTTTCAGGATCCGCGCGGCGAACACGTGCGTCCTCTTGTATCTTCACGTTCGTTCGTCGGTTCAGACCACCCAAACTCACTGGCAGAGTTGGAAAAAGTTCGAATGGCGTACGGTGCAGTGAGCGCGCCGGCGCGTACTTCGATGTAAGTCAACACTAAAGTTCACATGGCGCGCGCGAAGTATCAAGGCGGGACAACGGAGTACGCGTCAAGTCAGGTGGCTGTATGACGCATTAGTGAGCGCGCGGCGCGGCCGTACAGAATGCGCAAACAGACGAGGCGGGGGGACGAACCCCTCCCCTCCGTCACTTCATCCCACACCGATACCCGGGTGCTCCGTGCTGCCCTCTAGGCTGGGCTCATCGACCGCGCGCGCCCTCACGGTACCGTGCCATGCCACCGTGCCGGTCTCCGGTCCCCGGTCCCCGGTCGCCGGTACCGCTCTCGCCATGCTGTGCCACTCTTTCTTGCAGCTGTACCGCAATGTTACGATACTCGCTTTACCCCATCCAACTCTATTCCAAGATATGGGGACACTACCACATATGATACTTTACGCTTCGATTCTCTGACAGTTTAAAAAATATATAAATCATTAAAAGAATAAGTTGGAAATAATTCAAAGTGAAGTATTGAGCTTAACTGTCTTAATCCGTCGAATTATTTTCTCGACGGTATCATATTCACGAGTGAAGCACAGAAAGTGTATTAATAATTAAATTATCACAAAATCCCAATCTAGTGAGCACGATTTACTTACAAGTACCGCGTGCTCGTATGGCGAATCACTAACGGGCTATAGCGGCCGACGTTTTAACTGCGCGTGTACGTAGAAATCGAAGCCTCGATAACAGACCCGACTCAAGAAGCGTCGATGAGACCAAACCAGAGAATATGTAGACGGCGTTTATCGATTTATTTATTCGCGGAATGTGGAATATTATTTTAAGAAATAAGCTGTATTATAAATATAACAAATTAAAAAAAAATACTAAACAACATTAACATTTTTGAAGGAAACAACTTAAGGAAATAAGGCACTGCTGGACGTATCTTTATTGATGCAGGTGACCGCAACTTTTTGCGCGGAAACATTGAACTAGTTTTTTTGTCCGCCGACGTCCGCGATCTGCGTGAACTGGTTCACTCCCGAATACGATATGAAAAGTCTGTGACTCTTCTAACGGACGTCACTGTCGGCAGGTCGTTGCACACGATTCGTATGAAATCAAAAGTGCACAAGCGAAGTCGCTCGAGTGTATAGCCCAGGCCACGCTGATGCCAGTATTGTCTGCATTGACTGAATGAAATAAGCAAATGGCGGCGCAACGGTACAAATTATGTAATATTAAATTGAACGAACAAATACATTATTTAATGTGCTTTAAGCAAATTAAATATTCTAACTTTCAGCAACCGAAACTTTTAATAGCGCAATAGAGAATTTAAAAAGAAATGATATTATTACCAATCGCGTTTAAGTCTATTAGTAGAAATAAATGTCGTTCCCCATTAATGATCAAGTAAAATATCACTATAGTTTATTTTATTCAATAAATTAGTAGTTGCCGTGCAACTATTGCTTGATTTTTACGTAACCTGAGCAGAATCTAATTTATTTTCCTTTAATTGCAATAATTAATTAATTGATTATGTTACAATGAAATAATTCAAATTATTTTGACTTTAACATTCCTAGATATGTCTGCTTCAGCTTAATAAGTTGTAGTATTATTAATAATAATTAAAACATAAACCTATTTTTACACTAACCATCGTAACGATTCGATTTTGACATTCTTTTTAATCTTTCGAATTTTCAAAACAATCTTATCAAAATAACAACGAAACAGAATCATCTAAAAAAATGAATCATATCACAGTCGCACAAACTAAATCGAATCAATGGGATTGCAATCGGTCAACACATCAATCAGAACGATTAAATGGAAACTGCATGTTGCTGGCGCGGCGTTACCAGAGGCCTCCCTCTCGGTTAACTATCAGTTAAATCAATTAGCAAAGTGCTAGTGATGTACCGGTCAACTAACAATTGCTTTAGCATCACACGACACCTCACTACAGCTTTGTGTTTATATTTTATTTTTTTACATACATTTAAAAATATTATAAATGGGAATGTTTGGATGGATGGATGTTTGTTTGAAGGTATCTACGGAACGGCTGAATGGATTTTGATGAAATTTGCCACACATGTAGAACATAGTCTGGAAGAATACATAGGCTACAATTAAGTTTTTTTTTAATAAAACTGAGTTTAAGTTTTAAAAAACTTTTTAATAAAATAAAACAATTATATAGCCCTTTAAACTTGTTATTCGATTGCTATTCCGATCATCAGGTCCACTTCAATAAACACAATAATATCATAAATTACAATAAAGTCTAATTTCCTTATCGGATTTAAGTCAATTTCACATTGTGATATCAGGACTCGTAGTAACAATGTTGCTAAAGTACTAAGAAACAAGGGCTATTATAAAATAACAATTGCACCCCTTTAATTTAAAATTAGCTTTTCCCGCGACTTCGTCCGCGCGAAATTAAAAACAAACTTAGTGGGAACATGCGCGCTATGCCACACACCGTGCCAAATCTTATCCTGCACCGTTTACCCGTTTTGAAGTTATCTTCTGCCAAAAATCGATCCAAACTTCCGCATTTACAATATACTAACTGTCGCCCGCGACTCCGTTTGCGCTGAATTAAGAAAAACATAATTAGTAGTCCATATGTTCTTCCAGACTATGTTCTACGTCCATACCAAATTTTATAAATCTCCGTAAAGCCGTTCTGGAAATACCTTCAAACAAACATCCATCCATCCATCTAAACATTTGTATTTATAATATTAATAAGGTAAAATAGACTGGTTGACTATGACGTAGTCACCCATAACTTAGGGTAGGAACCAAACCCCTCGGTGGGGACGTATAGTGAGCTGACGATGATGAAGATAGTAAGATTATAATTAAATTGTAAATCTTAAAGTTCAAAATTGTGATAGAAATTATATTGTAGGTACTCATTTAAGATTTTATAACGTTTATATTATTAAGTCTGAGTATACTGAAGGCGATTTGTAATACGAGAGATGTTTGTAATACGCTATAATGATCAAATGAAAATATTTCTTTTCGAGAGAGGTATTAAAATTTTCTGCTAACAAGTTGTTGCCTAGCAGTAATACGCATTTGAGCAAATATTAATACAAGATTAGAGAGATCCTTATGATGAGAGGGCGAAGTTATTGTGAGGTTCATTTGTATTGGTATAAATATTTGCGAAAACAACTCACTATATTAAATCTCGACTATAAAACTTAATATTACATTGTTGTTTTGTATAAAGCTTTCATTTGGCTGGCAAGTTCTTGAAATATTTATTCGTAATGTCAATTTTTGCATCTTATATCCGTAAACAAAATGCAAGATTTTCCAGTTACGAAAACAATAAATAAATACATATGAAGGACAAAAAGGACAGATATGAGCTTGTGCAAAATAAATACACTTTTTGATATCCAATGGCACGAAGTACCTACAATATTAGACTTTACATGGATTTTCATTCCCGACACATTAATTGTTATATCACAGGAGCTAAAGTATACATTTTAAAAGTGGGAAGTGGAATTCCAAGTTATAATGAGATCGGTGATTCTAACTGCGGGTTTCGCCAGCAATGATCTTTGCATAAACACGTATTGTTGTCTCTATTTTCTCCAAGAGAATAAAAGGAATGACACTATGTATTAATAAAAGTATCACTGCCGTGGAATTCGACGTTAACGTAACCTGTGATTTTGGCAATGGTCTCGCTGTGTTTAAATGTAGAGCCGGTAATTGTCGTAGTGTCTCTGGTCGGTCTGAGTACGGAGCTATGCCGCGCCCACGCCTCACATCAGAAATAGATGCGCGGGCGCCGATGATGACTCAGCGCGGACTGGGCCCCGGTGTCCCCGTCAGCGGCTTTCGCCAACGCTAGGTCAACGTCGAACTAACAATCTGTTATCGAATCATCGACTATGACATAAAACAATTATTGTTATGTAAAGCGTAAGATCCAGAGTATTTTGATTATTAGTTAAATAATGTCTGTTAAATTAGATTTTGCCTAAAATTATAAGTGTGTTAGTGTGTGTTAAAAAAACAAGTTATTAAATTAAAAAGTTTTTATGCGAACGCGTAATATAAAGCGGTTGGCAGAGTGTAACGTGCGTCGTAGTAATCGAGAACTGCGAAGTAAATAGGAAATGTTTGTCAATAAAACGTGCGCAAAACAATAAAAAAGTGCAAGAAAATTTATAAATAAGTCAGTTGATCAGGTTAATTAAACAAGAAATGAAATGTTATTAACAAGACCCAAGGCTAAATTAAGCGTTCAAAACGTAAAATATTAAACGACTTCAACAAGATAAAAACACGTTTCTGTTTTTAACTCTTTTATCCATTAAACTTTGAGCAACCTTAATTTAAACGTTTAGTATGTCAGCGTCTGAAAGTCATCGCTCCAATTTGTCGGGCGTCGATAAAAATGGCGTACACGGCCCGTTTCAGCGAACGAAAGTGCGGTTAGTCAAATATATTTCGTCGCCAATTGTTCAGACAAACACGCACACAAAGACATGGAAACAAACACAGAAGTGTCATGCTAATCATTACGCTGGACACATATTAATTTAAGTACGGCACTTTAGCCCAGCTACCGTCAAAGGCCACCAATCAGTAACGGACCAGGTCTTCGAAGAAAGGAAGCCAACATAGCGGACTTTCAAGCCCCACACCGGTGGTTTGCATTGTTACGTGAACTCGATTCAAAACCATACATGTGCCGTTTGCATAAAATATAAATGTATATACAGATACGTCTCAAGCCACAACATCTTGCAAAAGTACTAGTTCGATTTGTATAGCTAGTACAAAGGAAAAAGATTCAAAAAAGGAATAAAGATAAATAAAGCTAAACTTCAAAATGAAACATCAACAATACAAACAATGCGAACAAGCTTTATATATAACAAATAAGTGGTGACTAACAGCAAACGCCCTCGTAAAATTATGAGTAATAACAATAAAATTCATGAAAGACAACAACATGTATAAGCCACTACGAAGCCGCGAAAGCTTTTGCGTCGAACTTGGTGCGGACTGGTCTTGCGACATTCTCGATGACCAATCTCACCGCACCAACGCAGCGCACGCACTACGCTTATACATTAATCGAGAATCGATTAATCGAGA